GTTTTTTTTTTAACCAAAAGAGGAAATGCAGACTTTGGTACTTTCCCAAAACTTAACTGCTGAAGCAACCTGAAGTTCTGGTGACACATTCTGGCAGCATTGAACCGGATCAAAATGTACAGAACCTCAAGAGAATTTCTACCTTTTGAACACTATTTAACAGTTTGTTTAATTTCCTGATCAAACCCACTGACTTCATATTTTAACGTGTTACATTCATATCATGTTCCAACACAAACGTATTTCTGAACTGAAACGTGGCTGCTGTGGTGACCTGAGTGGTTTTATCGTTCGCCATGTTTGGAGCAGCTCTAGGATTTGTCTCCAGATGACACACAGCTGATTAATAATCACAATAAAATAATGTTTTAGGATGAGTTGGACCTGTGAAAGGACAAATGACGCTTTTTGTATTGGTAGTGCAAGAGGGAAAAACATTTTTAATCAGTGACCACTATTGAAAATCATATGGCTATTATCTACAAGATTCCGATATTGCGTTGTAGAAAATGAAAATATGCAAAGACCAGCCAATCCCCTCCTGAAACACACTCATGTGAGGGAGGAACAGGGGAGGTAAAACAAACTGTGAAATCTCTTCCAAGAAGAGCTACGGGGACAATCTCACTACATACGTTACCACAGAGCTTATGTCAAACAGTGTACAATATGCACACTTGGGGGGGAAAAAGTACAAAATTGAAAAGGTGTCATTGCTGAGGATCAATGCAAATTTGACAGATATTGCAAAAACTTTTGAACTGGCTGTGTTAAGGTATAAATAAGTTTTTTTAACGTGCAGATCCATGAATTAACGTCTTCACAAGAAGAAACCGTAAATTGTTCCATCCGGGTAGAGCCAAAGTAGGGCGGGAGGCCTGAGGGGCGTTCTCACGAGTTCCTTGTTCAAACCTCCATATGTATATCAAAAAGTTCGCAAAAAGGTACTTTCTCTGTTTAAACCTTTCATCTAGAGGCAATACAAAGGGACTTCATATCTCACAACAAAGCAGGCCACGGAACATTAGTTTGTCAAGGAGCGGAGATACAGGTCAGATCCTCCAGTGTACGCTCACGCCGCTGCCAGTAGCCTGGTTCATGGCTGCTTCACTGGTTGTTTTTGGCTTTGGCGTGTGTGAGGATGTGAGACTTCAGGTTGGTGGACTGGGCAAATTTTTTGTTGCAGCCATCAAAGGGACACACATATGGGCGGTCTCCAGTGTGAATACGCACATGTGTGCGTAAGTTAAAGTCCAGAGAGAATCGCTTGCCACAGCCCTCAAATGTGCACTGGAAAGGAGAGAGACTCGATTAACGCTGCTGCATTTGAACGTAGCTCACAAATAAAATTAAGTCACAGTCTGCATTTAGGATGATGAATATTAAAGCTTGAGTATGACTGCTCTAAAACAAAGATAGTTCAGTAAAATGCACAATTCAGGATGTATTTCTCTTTTTATACCACTAGTTTAAATTACACAGCTTTTACAGAGTCCAGAAAACAAGCAGGATGTGCAGAAAGTGAAGAAACTCACCTGGAAGGGTTTCTCTCCTGTGTGTACGAGTTGATGTCTCTTCAGCTTTGAACTCTCCACGAATGCTTTCCCACACTCTGCGCAGACGTGCACGCGAGGCCCGTGGGTGTGCAAATGTTTCCTCATGGCCGAGTTATCCCTGAACATCTTGGTACATCCCTGAGAGCGAGAGGAGCACAATGAAGCTAATCTCTTGGGAAATATTTACAGTGTGGGTTTACAATCGAGTTAACGCTCCTCGTACCACTGCAGCAACCACCACTAAAAAACACAACTCTGTAAACGTGTATTAAACTTAAGTGCACCGAAACCCACACTCACTTTATGTGGACAGGCTATCGTCCTGGGTGCATCATCTTCTTTTACTTTTCTCGGCTTCATTCTGCAACAGACAGCAAAGTGGTCACATCAGAAATTGTTTGCAGCATTCATCTGTTGCCATCAAAACAAACATTTCTTCAATAAAAGTAGTAGTTTTATTCTATACTTTTAATTATATTTCTATTTTTTTATTATTTCCACTAGCTTTTAGTGAAGAAAACACTTTTTTTGTCTTGAAAGCTGGAGTTTTAACGAATCATTTAGCCACACAAACATCATCACTCACCGTGCAAACTCTGCCAGCTGTTTGGGGTCCGACAGGTCGATGCCTGGGATGCCTCCAGGAGGAAGCTTCTTCCCCGTCATGTATTCAGAATAATCTGGAGGGGAATTTTCTCCTGTGATCTGCTCCTCGTGGTCTATGTCCTTCTTGTCATCTAGATGGGAGTGGGACAGAACAGTCGATAACGACAGCAGCACCAGCAAACAACAAAAAAGTGCAAGTAAATGATTACATTTTGGGCTAAAGCGTTATCTGATATCCCCTAAACTCCCTTCCTCTAGTGAATGATGGAAAAATATGACAGAAACTGTGAGACTGTGGCTGTTAGCATTTATATACCAGTCACAATCAGTCATACACTAAACCGGATTAACATTACAATATTATGCAACTGAACAGGTAGTTAGTAGATAAGAACTGATGGAATTTTAATATTGCATGTATGTAAATGTATGTAAAACACATCATTGGCATAAAACAGAAGATTTTAAAAATACGTCTATAATATATAATCTTTACTTGTAAAGTAAAAATAAAGGATTTAATATTCTGCAAATATGTAAAAACTCTGAAGCGTCTCCCTGCTGGTGACTAGTTCGTGTCCACGGGGCAGAATCGGTGATAAAAGATTCGCTCCTCAGTGTTTACAAACATGCAGGTTTTTCACATTTCTGCAAACACAATTTAATAAAATCAAATGGACAGATACAGTAAAAACACTGCTGTTTATTTTTTTTAAGTGAAGTTGTCACCTTTGGACCCGTGCAAGCTTTTAATTAGCCGCCGACATTAAAGTTAATTACATCATACCTCAGTAATAAAACTATACTTTTTATGGCACCGCAATATCAAACACAGCAACTCATTGTGGACCCAGGATCCAATTCGCGTGCATTTACAAAACTTATTCATATATAAGAACACGCAGAGTGCGCGTAAAGCCAGAGAAGCGTAAAGTATGAGGGGTTCCTGAAGGCACCACCTCCACCCTTATCGCTGAACTGAACTGCGCCACAGCGGCCTAGCGGAGCTAGCTGCACTCGCTCCCACACTCGCCGCCATCTTCGTCGGCCAAATAAACGCCATTTTTTCGGGCCGCCATACTTTCTAGACCAGGGAAATATGGCGGCGCCCATCGACACATAAAACATGGCTTCCAATAAAAACAAAAACATTTCAAATGGAGTTTAAGTGGCTCAGAGTTGGGGAAAGCTTCCTACTTTAGCGGAGGACAAGGCCCCAGCTGGGCCCAGTCACACGACACACACGCTGAGAACAAAGCGAGGGGCCAGCTTGCAGGAATTCACTCAGGACTCTGAACTTACCCGATGCCCACATAGTGACTGAAAATTCCCCCTCCAAAGTCTTTATCTGGACCTGCTTCTGCTCCCATTTTCTGCCCATTTCTCCCCCGCTCAGGTAGCTCTTTTTGCCCGCTTTCTTTCCGCTTCCACTCTTCTTCATCCGGCCTGTTGACGAGCTTTTCCCGGCCACAGTAACCAGAGTCTGTTCGATATAGTCCTCCTCCACGGCGGGCACCGGGATGAGGATTTGGTCCTCGAAACCGTCATCCGTGTGCAGTTCAGAGTCATCCTCGCCCACCACCTCTTCCCTCGTTTGCACCAAAATCACCTCTTGGTGCGGATGAATCGAGTTGGGATCGTCCGTGTCGAGAGGCTGCAGGGCGATCATAGGCTGGTGCTCACCGTCGTCTCCCACAACTGTTGTCTCGATTGTCTCTACCTCGATTTCGTGCAGCTCCACGATCTCTGCTGGCATTTCGGACCCGTCCGTCTCTATGTACAGGGTGTCCCCCGATGCCATGATCAATTTCGTATTTCCTCCTACTTGTACGCTATATTTTTTTGCACTCTAGTCCTCCCTCCTGTCTACTCTCTGCCTTCCTCCTCCCTCTCCGACAACAACTCTACACTCGTGTACTCTCGTCGCCACAATGCTCCAGTTATGAAGTCTCGCGTGATTTGGCTCGAAAACGCTCTGATATGGGAAACTAACCTGTAGCATCTTAATTCTTTAGTTTTTAACTTATAACCAAAGGGACTGAAATAAATGTGAAAGTTATCAGATATTTCCAGGAAAAAAACAATTTTAAAATAAAACTCTTCACGCTAATATTTTGTATTATTCAGAATCAGAATTATTATTGTTTTGCTTCTATTTTGCACTATTACAGTTGTTTTTATTTGTAGTTACTTTTATTTTGAAGCTATTTTTATATTTTTATCTTGTACATTGTACCTTACTGTACATTAATTGCTGCACCAACCCAACAGAACAAATTCCTCGTATTGTGTAAACTACACCTGGCAATAAATCTGTTTCTGATTCTGATATTTCGTATTATTACATCGCAAGCTCATGTGAATGAATCTTAACATTTAAACTTTTTTATTTTATTTAGTAGAGTATTATCGAAAATCAGGGTTGCATAAAAGACCAGGGAATTATTACACTTCACAAATAATACTTGAGCAAATAATTGGCATTTATGCTTAAAAACACCAAAACAATTAATTGGGTATCAAAACTAATAAGTTACTAAGCTAAGATTAAGAAAGTAAATCAATACATTTTATGTCTAGGCTCATTGTGTATGCAGAAAGACAGCAACATATGGTAGGAATGGAGGAAATGAAGTGTATCTGGGACGTATGTGACAAGTTAAAGATAAACTTTATTGATCCCACAGTGGGGAAGGTTCACTGTTACAACAGCTCCAAAAGAAAAAGTGTAAAGTCAGTGCAAGAATAATTAGAAACACACAATGCAAATTGTAAGAAAAAGAAAGAGAAACACACAGGACAAAAATTGCAAGAGAACATATACAGAAGATTTTTGTTAAGAAGACTATATACACAAGATGAGGCAAGCTCATGTAAATGAGTTTTTACAGCATTTAAGCCCAATAAAGGCAAATTAGGGTTATGTAGGAGACAGTGTTTTCTTATTATCAATGATTAATGTGCAACTTAGTTTTTTAATGAATCAATTGGACTGAAATGTGAAGCTAATAATGCAGATTTTATGTGATCAACATTCTAAAACGTAGAGATATCAAATTTGCAATCATATAAAACAGCTGAAATCGAAATCTGGGATCTTTTGGGGGCATTTTTGCTTTTAAAATTACTTCAGTAATTAATAATTGGGTATTGAAAAAGTTGCAACTTAAAATAATATTCTAAAAATATGATTTATTGTCTGGGCTTACTGTGTGTAGAAAGACATCCAGCATATGGTATTTTTGTTGTTCTTCACTGTTCAAAAAGGTATGTTGTTTCTGCAATGGTTTCACAGACTCCACTGATAGAAGATTCATGTGATTCCAAGTAAAAAATACAGAAAAAATTGGTCTTGAATTTTATTTTTTTTCCCCAACTATCCTCCTCTATACTGTAGTATCATCACGGTTTTGTTATGTAGTGACACAGAGTAAACAGTCGCTACATAACGTTGAGAGAACACACGCTGGGAGGTATCACACATTTCAACAGGTGCAAACTGGGCCCCTCCCTCCCTGCGCCTGGGGGCGGGGCCTGAGGTCACACCTTACACCTCCAGCCTGCAGCCCGGCTGAGTGGGTGTGCCCCGATACTGGCCAGGTTTGATGACACACGCAGCGCCGCACAGCCTCTCACACACGCAGGGAAGATAGTCATGGGGAAGACAGGTGGAAGAGGCGACTTTGAATGGGTCTACACTGACCAGCCGCACACCTCCAGGAGAAAGGAGATTCTAGGTAAGAAATGCTCGACAATTAACAAAGCTTTGTCATCACACAGGAATCCGAGGAATTCAATTTATAGTAGCTGCTCCGAAAAGTTGAGTCTTTTTTTTTTTTTGTCCTGACTATACCCTATTTATAAAAGCGTAGCCGGTTAAACCTGTTTACTAGCTGTTGCCTAACGTGCTCTGTCCACAATGGATGCAGGGGAAACTGTCATGCCATTAAGATAAACTCCGTGTTGACTACATTTAACTTATTAATACAAGTTATACAAACTTGTGATTTAAGAAATTCATTTGAGATTGCAAAGTTTTAACACATATATTAATTAATTTGCCATTTAACACATAACCCTGTTCAGGACTCTTTTGGACCCCAGGCCATTTAGTTTAGGTGACAAATATTGCTTTTTTCATTTTTGAAGATTTTTTTTAACAAAAAAAAAAGGAAGGTTGGCCTGCAATTGGAAACAAAAAGAAGGCAAACCGACAAAAAAATTAATTAAAAAAAGAAAAAAAGCCAAAAAGAAAAACAAAAAAAAACTTGCAAAAAATCCTTCCTGGGCCCCAAGGGAACCCAAAAAAACCTTCTAGGGTAAAGTGTAAAACATTAAAGATATATCAGCAGCAAACTCAGTAAACAAACTTTGCCACCCACGGGAGACATTCCTCCTTTGTCAAGGCAAAAGGTATGATGGTAAAATGTATATATTCGAGGAATGACCCTGCTGTGTAGCTATAAATGATATTATATTAATTTAATTCTGATTGAAACGCTCCCTGAAGGCGGTGAGTTCTTTCCTGCAAACCTATCTGCCTCTCTGTTATCTTCTTTTCTAACTTGTGACACAATAACAGCGTATCGGTAGCAGGTGCAGAAGACAACGCCTTTGGGCTTTGCTAGGTAACAAGACGCATTCCCTGCTCATGACAAGCACACAATGCTGCACACGAGGCTTTCTTGAGAGTCCAGGAATCGAGGAGGATCCCTGAAAAGTAACCTCGACTCACCAAACTGCCTCAAACCACATGTTTTAACAGCAGTTGACTTGTTTTGTATGTATGATCCCTCCTTTTTTTAAAATTATGTCATGGATCTACAATCAGTATCAGTCATCTTCTGTTATCTAGTTCGTCATGTGGTTTGATTGAAAACAGATTAGCCGAACAAGATCGTAATCTGCTGATGTATATCCGATCTTGGGTTTGAGCAGTAGTTGCGTGTGATGAGCAGGAGGTGATGAGTTGTCTGACACCACCAAAGTAATAAATTATTAAAGCGTTTTGTTTTAGTTGAACTCCACCCTGCCCCGAGGCGACCAGCAGGAGGATGAAAGTGTCAGAGGTCGTTGTGCGTTTCATCATTTCACTTTGTCATGTGGGTTTTTTTTGGATTGACAAGTGGTTTTATGTGTCGAGTGGCTTGTTGTTAGAGGCTGGATGTAGGGTGGACCAGCAGGCCATAAAGTTTATATTATCTTGCGTGTTCAAAGGACATCGACGGCTGCCATCGCAGAAGCTTGAGCTCATGGTCAAACCTCACCTCAGAACAATATTTTGGTTTTCACCTTTAGCATCCTGTTAATCTTTTTATTTTTCTGTAATCTGAGCCTGAAACCTTATACTGTTCAATTAGCAGACAATAAGCAACGCTGAAATCCAGCCAACAGGTTCTGCTTCTGTGAAGGTGGTAAACAGGTTTTTGTTTTATGATGCCTGGTTATTGATTGAACTTAACACCATGTGGTCCAGGTTACACCAGGAGATGTACAGTCCATAATAAAAACCTCTTGATTTGCAGGAGCGAGTGACACATTAGCGATGAGGTCATGTCCAACAGTAGATTAAAAAAAAAAGCAGTTCTAAGGCTGATGTTTGGTGTATGTTGATTTTAAAGGAGTGGCTGTAGAGACGCAGTGGAGAATTCCTCTTGGCTAAACATTAACTGTAAAGCAATAAAGAGGGTTTGGTCAGTAAAGGGGAGACCTACAAACTTCAGGAAAATCACTGAAAGCAGGCCACGGTGTCTTTAACCTCTTAGGTTACCGAGCTAAGCCCAGTTTGCATGGACGCTACACAAGTAAAGTCAAGGCAAATAAGCCTTGTCCAGATTTGCATGTGTGACATCCCCTGATGGAGTGGCTCTCATTTAACGCATGACTGGATGTGCTCCTGCAGCAGTCTGCCGTCAGCTCCACCCCTCAGATCCAGAATGTTTGGGTGGATGGATTACTCAGCTCAACCTCTGCTTTCACTCAAGGTCTTGGTAGTAGCTGAAAGGTGTGGTTAGTGTAACAAATCAGAACTTGTTTGTCTTAACGATTAGGGTATACTGGAAAAGCACCATGGCATCTCCCCGAGTTTCATCTCCCTCACCAAAACAACACCTCTGCCAATTATAAATGACTTCTGTCAGCGGGCTCGTCCCAAGAGAAGGCTGCCTTACAGCATGCTTGACTGTGTTCTCTGGGAAGTGTTGTGTCACACAGACTGTACAGAGTATGTAGAGTATAACATGTATGTAGTGACTCTGACACAGCAAAAGATCAAACTGTTGAAATGACAGTGAATTCGTCCCTCTTAAATACCAGACTTATTTATTCTTTCTTAGGTTTTTTTTTTTTTGTTCTCTTTTGCCTTTACTTCCTTTCTTCTCTACAATCTCCTCATCTCTTGCCGTGTTCCTCTCCTCAGCCAAATATCCACAGATCAAGTCTCTGATGGGTGCGGACCCCCAGTTGAAGTGGGTGGTATCGGGCATGGTCCTAACCCAGCTCCTGGCCTGCTACCTGGTCCGCGACCTCTCCTGGAAGTGGATCTTCTTCTGGGCCTATGCCTTCGGAGGCTGCATCAACCACTCCCTGACTCTGGCTATCCACGACATCTCTCACAACGTGGCTTTCGGCAACAAGCTGGCGAAGTGGAACCGCTGGTTTGCCATGTGGGCCAACCTGCCCATCGGACTGCCCTACTCCGCCTCCTTCAAGAAGTACCACATCGACCACCACCGCTATCTGGGAGGGGACCAGCTGGATGTTGACATCCCTACGGACTTTGAAGGATGGTTTTTCTGCACCCCGGCCAGGAAGGTCCTCTGGCTCTTCCTCCAACCCTTTTTCTACGCCCTGCGGCCGTTGTTGGTCAATCCTAAACCAGTGTGTCAGCTGGAGATCCAGAATGCAGTAGTTCAGCTTGCAGTGGACGTAATTATCTACTATTTCTGGGGGCTGAAGCCCATCGTTTACCTCATTGCAGGATCTATCTTGTGCATGGGACTGCATCCGATCTCCGGACATTTCATAGCCGAGCATTACATGTTTCTGAAAGGACACGAGACGTATTCTTACTACGGACCACTGAACTTGATCACCTTCAACGTCGGGTATCACATGGAGCACCACGACTTCCCCAGCATACCTGGCAGTAAACTACCTCAGGTGAGGCTATATTACTGCTATAAACCATGTTCTACCAGGTAAACTTTGGATTGAAGGCAATAATTAATCTGGTGTCAGAGAGCGAGCACAGTTCCCCTCACAGCAGATAAACTGTTCCTCTCCTGTCTCTCAGAATCTAAATATAACAGCAAATCCCACACGTCACCTTTTTTTTATGAACTTCAAATATTTATCAGATGAATGGACAGGCTGTAAATGATTAACTGCTGCATCTCTAGCATGAGCAGAGCATGAAGTGGTTCATTGTGAGATACTTCCCTTTAACTCAGTTTGCAGTGACTCTAATGAGAAAATCACTGGTCGAAGTCAGAGTTCATGAAAACATTCATTCAACCTGTCGGTACAGTGACAGACCTTTATCAGAACATACTGTACAAAGCGTTCAGCAGACTGTGAAACGCCTGCTTCTATCTGATTGTCCCGGTGAAATAGTGTCAAGCTGAATAAGACCTCTGTGTGACACCCTGAGGTGCTGCTGACACTTTACATCTGCACTTTAGGTGTGAGATGATTCATGATTTACATTCTTTGTGCGTTCTCACCCCTCACCTCCACTCCTCACCTCGTCATATGTTCTTGTTGGCAGGTTAAGGAGATAGCAGCGGAGTATTACGACTCCCTTCCTCAACATACTTCCTGGATTCGGGTATTATGGGACTTTGTGTTCGACGACAGCATCGGGCCCTACGCCAGGATCAAACGGGAGTACAAGCTGAGCAAGCAGGAGTAGATATCTGACAATTATATTTTCCATTAAACCGACATGTGAACTTCATTTGTTAAAATATTGTTGTTGAAGTACGTTTTTTTTCTCCACACAGTGTGATGTACATAAAGTGTAATAATTACAGTTACTGCACGGTGAATGAATGTTTCAGCTGCATATGTTCCTACAGATTGATTGCAGCTGGATAGTTTTCCATTATTTATTCATGCTTGTGTTCCTGCTATAAACAGGTGGCCCATTGTCGTGATGTAATGATGGCATTTCCTTGTCCCCCTCATCGAGAGGGGCGACGGAAAGCTGACAGTTCCTCATCTGTAATAGGAAACAACAAATGATAGCATAAAGTCATTTTTTTCATAGGATAAAGGTCAACGGCATTCTGGTGAGACTTTACAGAGATGTCACTACCTCCTGCAGTTTCCTGCCTGTGCTCATTATTCAGGTTTCTAAATGCGACGCTCTCACATCCGTCGTGCAGAAAAGTGCTGAGGTGGAAAATGAGCATTGAAACTTACCTGCCAGTAAGAGGAGCCTTTTCCTTCAGTGACGCCTCATTCTGCTTGTTCGCAGCATCATCGTGCTGTAAACCGTTCGATTACATCTACAGGGGGTGGACAAAATAACAGAAACGATGCAGCGCAATGCAAATAAACCAGTAGCTCTCTAGGAAATCTGATGAAGTTTAAACGTCCAGTACTGTTGAATGAAGCTTCTAATTCATGAAATACTCCCTTTAATCTGCATTCCTGACCATTTCTTCTGCGGGTTTTCTATCTCGTCGTGACTTTAGAGATTGCAACATGAATTATTTTAGGACTGTTGCACCATTGTTTTTGACTGATTCACCGCAGAGCCGAGCGACGCCTCGCAATCACATATTAAACCTCCGAAATCACAACAACAGCAGCCAGACGGCGTTAGCAAAGAGGAGCAGTGGACCAAATCAACACTGTAGAATAAAGTCAGTATTTACTGCAGGGCTACAGCATTATGCAGCGTTGCTCTTATTTTGTCCACCCACCGGTTGTGTTGATTTAGGCATGTTTCTATTTAAATGACTGTGCTATATATATATATATAAAAAAGTAATCACAAGAGGAAACTACTATAAAGAGTGTGTTCCTTCCTTGTTGGTTTTTAATAAACCAGATGTTTTTTTCTATTTAAACTTGAAATATGCCTTCACGGTAAAAACCCTCCCCACACACACACACACACACACACGCACACACAGCAGGTCATTGCGCAAACGGTTGACACTCGTGTTGTTTTTGTTTGAATGAATTTACTTCCAGCTTTTAAATCAGAACGTAGTTGAGAGCGGACAGAGTGGATAGAATGCAACAACTGATATTCATCCAGATCCTTCCTGCAAAGACACACGTAGCTACCATCACATCGGCCTACCGTTCACCTTCTGCACATTCTTATCTAAGGTAACATTTGCATATTGCCAGAGCAACCCCCCCTTTTTGTTTATTTTTTTTCACATTGCTACCATTATTCAACATCTCATATATAGGAAGGGGAACCTTCATAGAAACAAACCACTATAATAAATGTACCACCGTTTATATTTATTTTTAATGTTTTTTTTTTTTCCCAAACCAAATAAAAAAAAAGGAAACTAATTCATAGAGACGGGGGAGTTTCATGCATACTTGGGAGGTTCACAAAGCATAGGAGGACTAATAGATAATACTACATTGGTTTATATCTAGGTAAAACCAGGTGGCACATTTACAGTTATCGGCCTGTTTTGTGAATGATCCCCAAGTTTCAATGATCTCACCGCATCTGGACAGTTGGGAGAGAAACATCGGTCACACTGGAGTTGTAGAGCAGACTGTTATCCGTGTGAGTCGCTGCGTTTTAAAAAAAAAAAAACAAATCGCTTGCAATGTGTTATGCCTTGGATATGGAGGAGAGAGGTAATTGAAGTGGCTAAATGCGGTTCAAACATTAACGTGTTTTTCATCGTCTCTGGAGAGAAAAGGTTAGACACACAACACCAGTATGAGCAAGGTCATAAAAAGTCTCTTAAATATGCCAGCTGAGGGGCTGGTGAGTCTGCAGCACCATTATGCCCGTATTGTGCTTGTTGTCATCATCAAATAGTCAGGGATAAACGAAACAAAAACTCATAATAGAAAATATAAAAGGCTGACATAAATGGTGTGCAAGATTCCTTTCTCCTTCTATAATATCAATAAAATACTCATTGTCATCAACAGCATCATCATTATCACCACAGTTTTTAAATAATAAAACAGTAAAAACTTAGAAAACAAAAATATTTTCTTCTTAAGACTTGGACTGAACAGAGAAACAAAGAGTTGCAACACTGGGCTGACTGAGTCTAGGTGCACAGAGAGGACCACAACACCAAACTCAGCACAAATGTCCTTCCATTCCTCACTTCATCCTTCATCCTCTGTTTGAGTTTATCAGTCCTTTAATCTTTCTTTATCCAGCCTTCTTCTGCTCGTCTTTCTCATTAACCCCTGCTCTCTTATCTCAGTTTCTTTCTTTCTTCTTCTTCTTTTTTTTTTTTTTGCTGTCCAGCAGACTTAAATGTTGGCACAACATCTCTGCAACTTGCATCATGGCATCGCGAGGTCACAGAAACATTGAGAGAACATTCCCTGGTCCTCGTGTCTGTGCATCTGCATGTCCATCCTCCTCCAGCTCCTCCTGTCGCTCTCCTCCTTCTCCTCCATCTGCACGCTCAGATGAGATTAGGATGTACTGATTCTGCCGATTTCTTGTCTGATGGCTGCAAGAGGGAGAAAGCAGCCTTTAGGGAAAGAAGATTTCAGCAGCGAAAAGGCCTCACGCCCAGAAAAAGGCACGCCAACATGTTAAAATAGACTTTATTGGCAGTGAGCTGTAAAAAGTAATGGGTGAAAAGGATTAAAGATTAAACCAGCTGAGCTAACGGCTACTGCAATGAACTTTAAATTGCCGCGCACTGCTTACCATTAATGATTTCATCTTTGACCTTATGCAACTCGCGTACGACTTCATCCAAAATTTCCTGCAGAATAACAAAGAGAAATGCTTGTGAGTTTATGTTTTGGAGCTATATGAGGGCGTTGAAAGTGCAAAACCCATAAAATCCTGAATGTAATAAAACACAGTGGAGAACGACACCAACCTGTTTCATCCTGTCAAACTCTGTGTCTGATTCACTAGTGCTGCCGATGGGTCTCACTCTGAAACACAAAAGGATGAACTGAATAAAAACACTGTTTAAGTGGAGTGTATTGGACTAGGCATTAAAGGGATGTGCAGTGGTTTTCGTGCTAAACAAATTAGACTTCTGTTTTTCTAATCCTTGCAACAGATTTGAATCCCTGCGGTTAATGCCAGAGACTTGCTATCTTTGCATATTCAGACTGCTCCCTTCACTCCTCCACGTTTCAGCTGCAGACCTGGACACCAGTGAGGACTTCTCTGCAGAGTTGGATCGCTCCCATGGCTTCTTCACAGCATCTAGCCAGGAGAAAAGAATAAATACCATTCAGTGAAACAACCTGGCTGTAACACATATAGCTCCTGTAGTTTTATTGGGCTAATCTACCGGTTGTGTTATATATTCTGTACCTGTTGAGTTCTGCTGACCCGGCCCCCGACCGCTGGAGTCGTCCTGCAGGAGAGACACAAAGTGATGTTAATTATTAACTCTCAGTCAATGGTACTGTCAGTTTTTCCAATATTAAAAATATGACCTTAAAGGAATAGTTACATAAGTTTTTAAATCATTTGCTTTCATAAGAACGGTTGTATTTTAAGATCGACACCAATCATGTCTGTACGCTGAACATAAAGCCACGGTCGAGTGTCAGCTAGCTTAGCTTAGCCTAGCTCTGTTTGGTGTTAGCATAAGCTAGCGGGCTGCCAGCATCTTTAAAACAACACGAACCAATATGAGGTATAATATATTTAAAACACAGCAAACATCTAGTAACTTCATAGTGAGATTCTTTGTCAAAGGAACAATCACCAGTTCAACAACTACGCTGGGGACTGTGTGGGGACCAGAATGTGGGTCGCACACACGTTTTATGGCATCGTACCAAAATTATAAAATACTGGGACGATGTGTGGAAAGAGATGAAAAAGATATGAGGCTATGAACTACCTACAACATGCACTGTGCTATAGTTAGGAAATGTAAAGCATCCAAGGCAAAGACTGATATCTGATTAAGATTTTAAAAAGCCATCACAAGGAAATGGCACAAAGAAGACCCCCTACTGGGAGGAACCGGCTGGAAATCACTAACGAGATGCACGTTATGGAGAGACTCACATATATTATGAAACTACAACCATCAATATGGGAAAAATGGACTATCTACAAAAAAACCCACAACAAAGACTGAAAGAAATTCCACTGACACTTTGTTCTATATGTAATGTGTTATTTAAATGAGAAAACTAATAAATCATAAGTTAAATTTGTATTTTTTCCCTGCATTCAGCCAGCATGCCAACCATAGTGAGCCAAATCTTGGAGCAAAGTAGTGTATAACTGAAAAATATTCAACTATTGCTTGAAAATGTAAGACTTACTTCATCCGGTTTCTCAGAAGCTTTTCGTCTAAGAGAGAGGAGGCAGGGGCGACAGTGAGATCCAGATCATTCAGAAACACAAACACAACATTAGCAGTGGAGCTCGTTTCCTTCATGAGATGAACACTTGCAATAAAGCAGAACCAGGACGACAGAACAGAAATGACAGGATGGTTGTGTTGGTGTCGCTGATTCACCTGCGAGCTAGTAAGGCATTCATCTCCTGCATCAGTCCCTCCCCACCACCACCACTGCCACCACTAGACCGGTTGGAGTCACTTTTCCCACCAGAACCAGGTGGGCTGCTCTCATCCTGGAGAACACATCATGAACATGAGTTTCACTTTTTGACCTCTGGGTGAAAAGCATCACGGCTTCAGCAGATCATGACCAACACAACCAGAGGGACTGGACCTCCTCCTCCTGACGTTCAACCAGGGAGGCTCACCCTATGCACTTTACGTAGTTTGGCTCCAGCCAGCGCTGCTGCCAGTCCTGAGGGTTGGTGCTGGATCCCAGGCGGGCCCCCGGGAGGCCCTCCACAAGTGGGCAGTGGAGGGGGCATGGGTGGGGGCACCGCCATCGGGGGAGGTGGACCCGGTGGCGGCGGCGGGGCCGGCGGACCAGCCATGGGCGCTGGAACTGCAGCTGGAGGAGGCGCCACAGAAAGCATAGCCGGGTGACCTGCAGAGACAGGAGGGCCTGGGAGGGGCAGAATCAGAGCTCAGTCAATAGCTGCACGGGTCCATCTAGCTTTTGTAGCCCCTTGGAAGGTTTTATGAGGACCGTCTGAAGAACAGGGTCTACACGTGTTCACTAATAAACACCTGACAGCTGTTTAGTGTCAGAGTGCAGGCAGCACTAGTTCAGCAACTGTTTAAAAAAATAGTTGTGTTGATAATAAGAATTTGGGTTAGAAAACTGTGTTTTTAGTTTTCCTACAGCCGTTGGTTTAAATCATCTCAGCAGCAGATGACTAGTGGATAGACAGTCCACTGCAGCTGCTTTGTAAAACTCATATATAACATTCAGATAACTTTAATTTAATATCTGGCTCAGATCAAGTAAAGCTAAACACCTGCTGAGCTGGACTCACTTCAGGTGACGGACTTGAAATGTTTAACTCGTGCCCGCTGGTGTTTTTTTTAAAGTCAGTGGCTTTTTTTACTGAAAATAATTGGAGATGCTACAGAAAGAAAAGCACAGATGTAAATAATGACTAATGAATTCTGTGTAGCTGCTTTGATTTGAGGGACCTGGTGTTGTGCATGTTGTGATAACGTCACACTGTCATGACTTACTGGGAAACTTCAATAATATCAACATTATAAGCTATTGGGGCTGCTGTCCTGCTGCATGATGCTAAATCAGGAGAACGGTGCATGGAAGAAGGCCGTTAGCTCTACTCTGCTTAAGCAGTCTGCTATTTCTTTAAAAGGCTCTGCACAGCTACATTTATTACTTTGGGTGACAAGACATCCAGTCAGGCTCAAGTCGATTAGCTATCCTGGAAAATACATGACATCATGAAAATAGTAACTCTGATAACCTGTGACCCTGTGTAATACTGTGCAAAGGTTTCAGGCACTTCAGATGAATAGATTGATGCAAAAGCATCAGGGAGGGGTCCCAGATTCATTCAGCAGCATGACAGCACATGTTGCTGGAGGTGTGAAGAAACATCTTCAGTGACAAGAAGAACAAGGAAACCTGCAGCAGCTGGTCTGGTCCCCACAGATCCCAGCAACGGAGACAGCTACAGAACTGTCGTCAGTTCTCTGTGATGCTTGTAAAAGTGATCTGAAAAACTTTGTGAGACTGCATTCAGAAAATTAACCAAAGTGTCTTCACAGAGTGTGTTTTGGTTTTTCTGCTCCACATACTGCAAAGACGCTTCATTTTACCACGACTGTATCATCTCTGATTGTTAACGGACTGTTTTGCTCTGCTGTTCCCGCCCCCTTCAGGAAGAACGCCTCTCTGAGTCTGTGATGGACAACCTGAGCTGGTTGGTCACACAGCACCTGGGTTGAATTCGTACTAGTTGCCCAAGAGGCTTCAGGAATGCTAGAAAAAAGTCTTTGTACCGTAAAAGCTTTTATTTTACACTTTTAAGTTTCTAACCACCACAAATTACATGTTTAAAAAAAAGGATTTTCACCGAATGGGACCTTCAAACACAAAATCTTTTGCGTAACACTAACTGATAAATAAAAATTATTCATGGCATTATTTCTGAAAGCAGCCTCACTTTACTTCTGGTGCCTGAAACGATTGCACAGCAGGTCTCGCCCTGTAGGTGTGACAGACGGCTTAAGCAGAGTACGATCACGCCCTGGCGGTCTTGAGAAGTGGTCTGATTGTACAGCGTGAAAAGAAAACACCCGCAGCAGATGGATCATGGGTGTGTATGAGCTCGTATGCATTCTGTGCATTGGATGGTTTTGTTGCCTAACGCCGGTGTGGTGCAAACACATACATATATAGTCACACACATGAAACATCGCTCTGCTGAGAGACTACCTCCTCCTCTCTCCTCCTCATACTTACTGCTGCTGGCCATGGGGGCCGGCTGGGGGACAGGGGAGGGGGTCTTCTTGGGCGAACCCCCGTCAGTGTAAGAGGGGGGCGAGGAGGAGGAGGAGGAAGAGGTGGTGGTGGGGGGCTGGGCCTGCTGGTGGTACACCTGCTGCTGCTGCTGCTGTTGTTGTTGATGTTGTTGCTGATGCTGCTGAGGGTGGAAGGTGGATGGGTACTGGTGGCCGGGGGCGGGGCCTGGGGCTGTCTGACCTATCAGAGGAGGCAGGGGGATGGCCTCGCAGTACTGAGGCGTGAGGGGCAGATGCTGAGAATGAGGGGAGTAGGAATCGTCGGGCTGGCCGTTGGAGTGAGGGTGGGGCTGGTGCTGGGGGTACTGGTGAGGGCCCGCCATAGCGCTAGGATCAAGAGGTGGGGGCTTCATCCTAGCGCTCACGGGCGGGAGGGGGTGAGCCACCGGGAGCACCGGCTGCGGGGGCAAACCCTGCTTCACCGGCATCGCCATCATTACAGGGGGGGACGAGGAGGGGGGCATTTGGGCGTACATTTGCAAGTGGGAGGCAGACCAGGTGCCGTGTTTAGGGGGGAGCATCATGTCCTGCTGCTGCTGCTGCTGGATGTGCAGGTGGCGGGCTGCTGTGGGGGGAGACAGGGGGATCTGACGGACCTGTCGGCCCTGGGTGGTCACTCCCGCCTGGACCGGGGAGAAGGCCGAGGCCAGCGAGGTGGAGAGCTGGGAGGAGAGCTGGGCCTTGTCCCTAGCAGCCCCCACCTCTTTCTCCTGAGAGGGAGAGATGGAGGCGGAGGAGGGAGGAGAGGAGGAGGCCACGCGGACGTAGGAGGGTGGCAGTGTGCTAGCTCTGTACTGTCTGTACTCGGGAGGAGTGTCTGGGTGGGTGGGAGGGGTGGAGACTTTATATTGGAGAGTGGAAACGACTGTGACGGGCAAAGAGAGAAAGACAGAGAGAGGAGAGAGAGAGAGAGAGAGAGAGAGAGAGAGAGAGAGGAGATGCAGACGAGGAGGAGGAGGAGGACGAAGGAGGGCAACAAACAAAGGAAAACAGAAAAGAGAAAAACGTGAGAAGAATGAAAAGCAAACAACTGAGCAACCAAGCAAGTAAAAGATGAGAAAATCAGGAGCAGTCCAAAAAACGGAAGCCAGTAGCAAATAAGAAAGAATCAAAATATCATAAAAAGAACAAGCAGCAGAATGCAACATGACTGAGCCATGATCAGAAAGCATATGGCATTTCCCCCCAACAGTAGCTGGAAGAAAGAGATGGCAATAGAGCATGTTGCAGGGACAGGGGGGGTTCTGATATTGCCAGTGACACCGGGGACAAAGGAGGATGTTTAAGTCTGTATGTGCTTTTTTTTTTTAAGGGCAGACTTGAACATTTATATGTGTGCATGGATAAAAAAGCATAACAGACCGGGGAGTCGTGGTTGGAACTAAGGCGGGAGACATTAAAACAAACCACACTGGGGAAGCCTGTTTAGGAACCTGTCGTATCAGGGGATGGAATCTCTGCTATTTATTGATGATGATGATATCACCTGTTTGCTTTGGGAAAGTAAAGTGTGCTTTGCCTGACCCAATACGGATAACTAGACTCGTTTAAAACGACAGAAAGCAGCGCAAACATCCATTTGCTTCCAGATAAGGGTGTTTGTTGACAGCTGCGAAGCTTTCTTGTTGACCGTTTTCTAAAATGTTTGTGTAGCTGTGAGCACAATGCAGCCGTCAATTCAGCTCGCAAGCGCGTTTGAGTGAGAGTGTCAGAAAGGAAGTGTGTTTATATAGCCGGGCGTGGGTGTGTTTGATCAAACCTCACCTGATCCTGACGTTCGTCGCTCCCTCTCCTTGTGCGCCTGCATCTGATGTTGCTCCATCATCCTATCAAGCGCAAGGATGTCACTGCACTGTGAGAGCTGCGGCGTTTGTAGTTTGCTTCAAACAAACGAGCCTTATGTGCGGTTTGACTCTATCTCTGGTTATCATCAGCGGTTATACGATCATCGACAGCACAGTAAAGGCTGTGTTTTGGAAATTATTTACATATTTAGCAGGAACCAAATGGCTCAGACAGGTCAGCTAGAGTATCACGAGATGCAGTAGAAATACACAGAACAACATCATCTATATGCTTTAAAATGATATGCTTCATTTGCTTGGGTTTTATTTCATATTTTAAGCAATAAGCGTGTCTAATGTGGAGCAGGGTTCTCGTTAGTACCTCCTTTGTGCTTCGCTCTCTTCTGAGGAGGGCCCATTTTGGCGCTGAACGACTGGACCTGGAAGACACAAAGCGAGAAAAAAAAATCAACCACACAACAACAACAAACATTTTACTTTTACAGTCATTCCAGAAAATGCGACAACACCTTCCCTTTTCTTTTTTAGCCTCAGAAGCTCATTAATGAGACAGAAACAACACAAATCTGCAAATACGTTCACCATGTGTGAGAGGATTAATTGTGTACGTTTCCATATGGAGACACTTCCCACAAATTATGATAATCTTACATAAAGCGGCCTCAGCAGCGAGCGCAGGAAGAGAAGCTGAACAAACAGTCGGCAGCAGGCATCATGTGAGGTGCTGTGACTTTGCCCTGGAGGGCCTGCAAGCTGTTTGTAATGTAATTTGCTCGACATGTTGCTCGCCACAGGAATTTCAACTGTAAACCGCAGCAGTAAAGCCTTTAAGAGGCTTGATTAAACAGAAACTATGGAAATATCGCAGGAAAAGGTCACGCAAATGTGACCGTGAGCAAAACGCAGGTGAGTCATGAAATCCTCCAGATGAAAGAACGCTGATTGTGTTTAACAAAGTTATCTCAGTCTACATGTTAGCAGCCATGTGATCGGCTCAGATTAGCCGTTTGCTTGTTGACCAGCTACAGATAGTCTTCACTCCCCTCCTCCCTCCTCCCTCGCTGGGTGACGGAGCCTCATTCTGGGGCAGCTATTAACAGGGAGCATCAGGGAGGGCACTTATCACATATCACCAGAATACCAGTCATTAAACTCCAACGCCCACCGTGACATCAAGATCACCCACGGCGTGATATTTCCGTTCGCTGTGTGTCTGGAGGATGGGGGAGGATGGGGGAGGATGGGGGGAAGTCAACATGAGGCAGTCTGAGCAGCTCACTGAGGGCTGCGACTGATTATCCTGAATTTAACTTCACGTGATTTATTCAAAACATTAAATTGTTTTGGAAGCAGTGAGGTTTGCGTTAGCGTCTCTTTGGTCTGAGCTGTTTTTGATTAACTCCTCTTCCTTCAGACTCTTTCACTTGCTTCAGTATCTAGTTAACTGATCAAATCAACGGCGTTAAACTTTATTTGACTTTCACGCAGCTTAGTGCAAATAAGAGTGTCTAAGAAGGAGACAGTATAAATGTACCTGTAAGACTGTAAAGTTGGATTTTCTTTTCTTGTGTGAGTGTTGCTCAGACTCTAAACCCTCCTGAGCAAAGCTTGATCATATAGATCATCTTGACTCTTGCAGCAAACCCTCAGTGTGCATGTGGTGATTAATGTCATCAGGCAGTGAGTGAATAAGCATTTACTAGACAGGTTTCATCTGCAGACGATAACGAGCTTTAATTTGTTCCGCCACAGTCGATGGATTCAGGTTTAGGTGGAGCGAAGAAGCGATGCCTTGAAGACGTCTGCTTTCCCTCCATCCCTGACTCTCCCCTGAACTCCGCTTTTCAACTAATTATCCGCTCTGCCGGCAAAGCTGCTGCACATTTAGCAAATATTCAGAGGGTTGAGCTAATATTCGGGGTGTCGAAAGCAAAGAAACAGTCTCGCTCTGCAAGAAAAGAGGACACAGAAGTAATAAAGTGTTTGGTTTCAGCAGCACTAATACGATAAGATCTCACATCTAGATGACGTCGTGTAAATACAGGCCGTCTGTTTCACCATCACGTTCTTGTTCAGCTTCAACAGAAGTATTTGTTGCAGAAACAAATCCTACAAGAACATCAAGATACAGACATAAATACAGCAGAAGCATTTCTGCTGCTTCCACCTGCCAACAGCTACACTGCTTTCTTTATGAGACTTCAGGGATTCGGTCTTTAAACGCAACCTAATTAACACGGTATTAACACTTCACAACAGTTCTGCAGGTGTTAATGAGGCAGATGTAAAACAGGCGCTGGCCAACCTGCGCTGCGTTGTTCTGCGTGTGTTTCCACACGTATGTACTGATGCCGATATGACGCAGGGTTCTGGCTGTTGCCATGGTGAAGGTCAAGGAAGAGCAGGAAGCCCAGGGGAGCAGAGGGCCTGATCGGACATGTAGCGCTGGAGCTCAGGAGACCAAGGTGTGTGTGTGTGTGTGTGTGTGTGTGTGTGTGGGAGGCGTCTTAATGCAATCAAAAAAAAAAAAAAATCAATTATTTCCCCCCGTGCACACTGTTTCTTTAAACACACAGAAGGCTAAATGATGACGAATTACAGCCACAACAGAAGATACAACAACAGACAGACGGACCTTTTGTCACCTTAAACAACACACGACTTGTCTAGAAGGCTCCAGAACTTTAATTCTGAATTGTACTTTCAAAAAAACTCAGCAGTGCGTGTCTCAGCAACCGAGGTAGGAACCACCACAGGGTCATTACAGGTGACCAGGGCAGGACAGGTCCCCTTTCCAGACACACAACACATCTGTTGGAACCGATGTGACGGCCACCACCTAGTCGATTGGTTGGGCACATTGGCTGTCTGTGTCTGTGTCCCTAGATTGCCGGAGACTGAGTGGGCGGTCCTACCTGATTGGCATGCTCGCTCCCAGGTATAAAAGGGCCAACCCCTCAGCTCCTGGGCTCCCTCTCTCCTCATGCCCCTGATTTGTGGTTTTGGTTCGTTTTTGGTTTGGTTTTCACATCTGACAACACCTTGCACCACATCACATCCAGATATCTGCACCCACACTACTGACATCACTGACTTACATACCTCACTTTGACTAGATTAATTTAACCAATTAATAAAACTTGATGTTAAAATCTGAAAATACCTGTGTCGTCTCCCCTCTTTTGCCACAACCTATTGGCCCGGGTTGTGACACCGACACTTGGTATCTGTTCATAGTGAGACACACCATTCAAACAGAAGATACCTGTTTGTCTTCTCCTTGACGTTCCTCCCTGATCAAGCGAAGATGTGAAGAACTCATGAGGACTCTGTGCACTTAAACCCGACTACGTAATCATTTGACAGCAGATGTGTGGGTCTGCCAGGGACGCTCTGAACGTGTTCTGTGCTAAATAAAAGAAGTCAGGAGGCGCTGGAGCTCCGTTTCTTAGCATTTAGAGAATTCGACCAGCTCTTATCATGGCTGCCACTTCAGACGTTTTCGGGTAATTTCACTCAGTTGTAAATGTTCCTAAGCAAAGAACAGGCAGTTTGACCGCAGCATGTGATTGTCAAACAGTTGTTTACTTATTCAAGCAACTAGTGACAGATTCTAGTTTTTCAAATCAAAAAAGGTGCCAAAAAAAGAAATTGCAAGTAAAAATCCTGCAGTTACAAAGCTGCTAAAGTAAAGGTTGCATTTTATTAATATTAACATTTATTAATAATGTAATTTAGTTGTATTAAAGTTTTACTTATTAATGCAGTAACCAGTTTTAACCAGTGAGTGCAGGTTCAAGAAGGGTGACAGGGTGAATCGAGGGGTCTTGTCAATAATTAGAAGGGAAGAAATAAAAATAGAAACCGGCTATGCAAATCTGTATTTTTGAAGTCATCTCTAATCTCCGCCTTTTTATGTGAAACACTGGATAAATCTGTGAGGCTCAGGAAGTTACCCAAACAAACCATCTGACAAGTTTAGAAGGCAAAATGTAGAATTTAGAGCCTGCTATTTTGAGAAGAGGCTCAAAATTCACACAGTTTGGGAAGCAGCGGTGTAATAATCAACATTATATTGTGTTTTTATAAGTCTATCAGAAGTTCTTAATGTCATTTTCTTATTGAAAAGCACAGTTAAGGCACCAGCTCAAAGTAGAGGAGTGAAAAGGACGATAATCGATATGAAATGCAGCAGAGCAGAAGTATAAAGCTGCAAAAGAATGGAAGCAATTAAGCAAAGTAGAAGTTCCTCCCAACTGTGCAGAAGTACAGTCAGTTCCATCGCTCCACAGAAGACAATACACAACTACCTACACGTCCAAACAAAACCATCAAACAGCGAGAAAATGGCTAACTTCCCTCCATCTGCCAGCCGGTCTGTTGCCGTGGAATACAAGTGGAATATCTCCTCAGCACCACACTTACTGAGGACGATGATGGCAGAAGACACCCGTCTGAGGACACCGGGCGAAAGATCTGGAGTCAGCATGGTGGGAAAAGCTCCAAATTCACTGTTTCCACTGGCCTGCTAGCGATCAGCACGGTGTCAGCGCCACTTCCCTCAACAAGCAACAGCACGAGGGTTAAGTAAGACGGGCAGCGAGCAGAGACACCTTCATGACGAGGCCCGTGATACCCCACATCCAAACGCACCCAAAAAAAGGAGAGCTGCCATGTGAGCACGATGGGGTTCGACATTAAGGCTCCGTACGAGATATTTTAGCCACCGGTAGGAGGGTCACAAGGACGGGATGGGATGACAGCGCAGCTAAACACTCACAGATATTCCCTGTCAGTGTCTCACGCACACACACACTCACACACACACACACACACACACACACACACACACACACACACACACACACACACAGAGCTTATAAGTAGCTTGTAACCAGAGACTGTCAGAAGCTATTTAGTAAACCAAGAGTAGGCGTGAGTTTAGTTTCGAATACAGGTCAGGGTTTCAGCAGGATTTATTCACTATGCACGTACAAAAAAAACAAAACAAAAAAAAACCCAAAACAAATATTGCATAATGCATATTTAACCACATGCAGACTCTCTACTATCCAGAGCTGTTTACTTTCACGAGAAAAACTAATAAACTGCCGTGGAAATGAAAACCCCAGCCGGAAATAAAATCCTCAAATAAAGGACAAATTTCAATCTGTAACCGACTGATGTTGTTATTGTTGTTGTTAAGAGCTGCAGTACACGCTGTTGACCAGCAGGGTGTAGTAGAGCTCAGTTACACTTCATAGGCTTTGAACTCTGCAGCCTTACTTAATGTCTACATGCATATAATCAAATACTAGTATGTAGATTATTGTAGTGTTTACCGTCATCCTGCTGTCATGTCTCTCACATGCCTTCCTCCATCAATTTTTTAAAGACTTTCTGCATTTAACGTTTTCTG